TAAACAGTAAACATAGGGAAACCCATTAAGCTCCGTGATTTCTAGTTTTGAAGAAGAAAGAAACTACTTATCAAGTTCCAGAGAAGATAGAAAACATGGCTGATCATCCAATTTCCATGTGAAATTTTGCACAGATTGGCCCACATGTATGGCTGACACATGAGGGAGGTTATGATGCTGGCTTCTTCAAATTGGTTCGGATGGTTCAATCTTTGTAAGTTGACAACTTTAGCCAAACATTAGTTTGAAGTAAAGAGTGGTTTTGAAGTTTGAAAAAACTAGTGTGACTTTGCATATTTGAAACTGATTAATATAAAATAGTGGCGTTATGCTTTTTCAGGAGAACGGTGCAGTACATATGGATCCAATTTCCCCAGAATCGATCATTTCAATGGAGGTTATAGCTTGTACTTTCGTTTTAGGCTTGGGTTTTGGTTTGGTGTGCTGTACTTTGTTTCTCTTCATGTAGAAAGAACTTAATTGCCTTGGTACATACATTTGCCATGTTTCTTTCTTATTTATTTACTAATATTTCTTTTACTTAATAAGATGTATGCCACAACTCATTACCAATTTGAATTGGCTATTTTCACATATGCTTGTAACAGCCATTCCATAGCCTATTTTTACCTGTTTATGACACACTCGGTATGTTTTCTTCCTTTCCTCATATAAACCAACAGGTTGTTATTTTGAACATTTGAGGCTCGAAATGCAGGGTACGTGGCTAAAGTAATTTTAACTTTAACAACCACCGGCCCATTTGAATCATCTTAGTTTGTTTCTGCTGGCTGCTCCACTGATGCAAATTCTGTGGAGTTCATCACAACCATCCTGAAAGTTTCGATAGCTTCTTGTCCAAGAGAATAAGATAGATACTGGCTGTGATGTTCTCATTACTTCTCCCTAGATCAAAGGAATTTAGAATTTTTGGGAATTATCATGATTCACATGATCACTTTTCTAGAGTTGCCCCAATCTATGAAGCATCGTGTACTTTGCACTTACATTTTCGTTATCTACTGGGTATTCGCCGTTATTTTTCATGATTCTGCATATGTACCAGGTACTATGCACACGCGACCCAAAAAATTCTTCTTCTTTAATTTTGGCTTACTCTAAGAGGTTACCTAGTATATGCTTAAGTTGTACCCCCAGCCGAATAGTATTTTCTTTTATGTAGCATGTAAAGTTAGACACTTCTTTTTTAATTTTTAATTTTTAATTATTTTCTATAGCAAACAACTGATAATGCCAGTTCGTCCTGCGGTGGATGCGGCTGGGTCCAAGCTCCTCACAGTTTCGAGTTCAGGCGGATGACTCCTCCAGATGACCTCGCGAACAAGTCCAGAGGGGAACGCGGGTATTCCCCCAGTGAACCCTCCGGCGAGCGAATCAGTAGAGGAAGAAGAAAATGTAGACGAGAGAGAGAGAGAGAGTAGAAAAACTTAACCCTTCCTTCTATGTCTTTCCATTCTTGCTGTATTTATCCTTTGGTAAGATCATTTCACTGTCTCTTGTGACGTGCCCCCCTTTCCGCCGGAAAGCCTGTGCCGATAGCCTTACCTGTTCAGGGTGAGGGGCTCATATTCCGACGGGGCAGGTGTTGTTGTCAATAAATACTGTCGCATGGCTGCATTACATGGTGATGTGTGTTGGCAATAACTCTGCAGATATTTGTCTGCTGATGGGCCTGTTGTTCCACCTGCCTATGTGTCCGCAATGCCCATTGGCCCTCCATGTCCAGATGACTCCAAGCTGTCCTGGGCTTTGCCAACCGGGTTATGCTACTTGGGTCCCAAGCGATGGGTTTGGGGTGTGCTTTGCTGTGCGGCCGTAAGCCTGTGGGGCCTATCCATGTCAGTTAGTCCCCCATTTCCGAGTGCAGCTTTAGTCCAACAAAGGAATAGTACATAAGGAAGAGGAAGTGCGAACCGAGGGAGAGGCGACCGGAGCCGTTGCCGACCGCAAGGGTGACCGACTCGCGGAGAAGCCTGACCGTGAGGGTGGCGCCGAGTGGGATGGGGCTGACCGTGAGGGTGGCGAGCCGGCAGGGGTCGACCGTGAGCGTGCCACCGCGAGATGTGTCGAAGGGAGGGCGTCGACCGTGAGGGTGGCCGAGGGGACGGATCGACCGTGAGGCCCGTGACGACCGCGCAGCGTGGCCCCGAGCGGAGGTCGACCGTGAGACGTGCCGACTGCCGAGGGTGGCGAGCCGGGTGACGGGGTCGACCGTGAGCGCGTTGCCGACCGCGAGCGATGCCGAGTTGGGAGGGGTCGACCGCAGGCGTGCCGACCAGGACGGCGGGGGGCTCAAAAAGAGAGAGCGAGGTGGTGCCATTGTGATGATGTGAAATGGAAAAGGACAGGGTAAGAGGACGGGGACGAGTCTGCAATCGTGGCCCATACACGTCCGGCAATATCGTAGGCGGAAGTGAAGCGTTGGAGCAGAAATGAAACGATTAGGTCACGCAAGGGCGGGCGTTTTGAAAAGCGTTTTTTGGCGGTTTTGATTTGACAAGGTTTTTTGAAAACGGGCAAAAATTAAATGTTTGGATCCATGGAATACGGGTAAACCGTGGGTTTTGGGTATAATGCGTTTCACCTACCTTTTTACAAAAACTCAAAATACCCAAGTGTTAATTCCTTCAATGCGTACGACACACCTGTGCAAAATTTTCTCAACTTCCTTGCTCCTGCGTCAGAAGTGATTCGTAAGCAAACCCTAGAAATGGCACAAGAAGAAGTGGTCGATGTGAGGGTGGACCCTCTGGGAGACGATGAAGCAGAGGAGCTAGCAGCGCGATATAGGACGGAGACACGAGTGGTGGGGGTGGGGGAACCGGTGGAAAAATCACAAGCGTCGGCCCTGATATTGGCCCCAAGGCCAATAAGCCAGGTAGAGCCGGATCAGTGGCACACGAAGGCTGACAAATCCACAATTACTGCGACGGATTTAGAGGCGATCAGGGAGAGATACCAGATTCCGGTGGAGGTGGAGTTATTGCTGCCAACATCAAGGGAAAGGCCGTCTGATGCTAGGCCAGGGGAGTTTTCCCTTTATGAGGAGGCGCTAAAAGGTGGGCTAAGGTTGCCACTGCCCCAAGTGGTGGTTGACGTGCTAAACCGCCTGGAGGTAGCGCCGGGGCAATTGATGCCCAATGCATGGAAGATTCTGCTGGCTTGTGCGAGCGCGTGGCCCAAGGCGAATGGAGGGGAGGCCATGGCGGTAGACGAGTTCTTTTCCTGTTACAAGGCTTCGGGGCAGCAAGAGACGTGGGTCACCCTACAGGCGGTGATGGGGAGGGGATTGGTGGCGGGGTTGCCGACATCGATCAAGGGGTGGCGGCCATGGTGGTTTTACGTGTCTGCTAATGGGGGACTGGGGGTGCGCACCATCTGGAAGGTGCCCACTAGGTCGATGGATTCGAGATTGGGGGCAGTGACGGAAGAGAGGGTGAAGAGAGTGAAGGAGTGGAGGGAGAGAGAGAAGGCCAAATGGGACGAGCTTGTTCAGCCGTCCGCATTGTTTGAGGCGGGGCTGGGACCGCAGCCGAGAGGTGGGGACCTCGACCGAGCAGAATTGGAGGCGAGAAGAGAAGCTCAGGAGGTTGAGGATCAGGCCGTGCTGGCCAAGGCCACGAAGTTGAAGGAAGCGCGAGGAGACCGACCGCCTCAACCGATCGTGCGGAAGAGGATCCGACTGCGCCCAAGGCCGTTGGGGGGGAAAGACTTAAGCAATTTTGAGCCACGACCGCCCCCAGTAGATCCTGTAAAAGAACAGGCCAGAAGGGAGGGGGAGGCTCTGAAGAAGAAGAAGAAAAAGATGAGTGCCCCAGAGGAACCTG